ACTGGTATAGCTAATTCAACCACAGAGCTTAGTGAATTTTAAAATGCACAACCTTTTCAACTCTTAATCATTCTTAAAATATTTATATCATCATTTCTGATTCAAGGGAGAACTAGAGATATGATCAGAAGTATATCCATTGACTAATAAACATGTACATGTATATTGTGTTTTTTAAGTCATTAATGTTTGTTTGTTGTTAAATGTCCCTCTTGGGAATTTTTCACTCATACGGAGACACCACCACTTAAAAATAATGAAGACGTACAAGTCGGATTTAAGGTTAACATTCATTTTAGGAATTTTCAACAATTAATTAAGACGTAAAGAGATAACTCCTTCCCCTTGCCCCTTCCCCTTCCCAGACCCCAGTTTGTTCATGTATGCAAACTAGTCTAATACTTTGGTTTGACATAAAAAAAATGTGAATACATACAAATAGTTTAATGGTCCATCTCTTTGAATGATTTTCATTCCTAATTCTAGGTTGACCCAAATTCATGAATGAAATGTCAAGTAATCTAATCATTGATGCACTTCTATTTAATTTGATGTAGTCATATTATGAACAAGAGAGTGGGGATGACCTCAAGGGTTCATAACCTTAAACCATTAGATGTACATAACATAATAACACAAGAAACAAAATTATGTCTAGTCAAATGGAAAAATTTTCTACTATTTAGGAGTCGCATGATCATTTGTCATTTCAGGGACAGGGAGCGGCTAGGGAGATTGGAACCCCCCCCCCCCCCCCCTGGAATTTGCAGAGTTATTTAAATAGGACTATATACTGATTTACAGAAGCAAATAAAAAATGACTTTGGATGCCCTCCCCCTTTAAAAACATGGACCCCACCATCATTGTTTTTATTTTGTTTGTTTGTTTTTTTTTTATTTTGCTCCTCAGGAAATTCTGGGCTGGAATTTTTTTGGACCGAGGTGTGGACCCCCCTCCCCCCCCCCCGGAAAAATATTCCCGGATCTATGCCTGTAACTGAATATAATGTCGACAACGGGAGATAACTCTTCAGAATGTGAAATTCGTCTATTGTGGCATCGATGATCCACTCTCTACGATCGGCTCATACATTCAGTGTCTGAGAGAGAAACGCATGACAACTCTGCATAGGAGATTGCCGATGATCTTTGATCCTTTTTAAACTTTAACCTAACCATTTGCATTTTGGTTTATTTTACCCCAATCTATACTTAAACTTGTACTTACCGACTGTCATAGGTCCTGTCAACTTCATGAAATATAATCCAATTAAAACACAAAATGAATTAATTTCCACTGATATACATGTAACACTGCACTATGTCACATGGCATGTGCAATCTAAAAATGATAATGGTAAAACTAGTACTAGTACTGGTAGGGTGACGCAAGCCCAATGTGATGTAGAAATTTTCAAAAAGGTGTTCACATACATGTACAGTACAAGAACAAATTTTAAATTATCATAACAAACGATGTTTTAACATAACTTTGCCATCTAGGCCTATTTCCAAAAACAGGCAAATTGTGTGTATTTGGGGGGGGGGGGGGACACATATAAATTGATTGGGTATGGCTTTTCAAGGAGGTTTTTGCCTAATCAAATACTAAAAAAAGTTTGCACATTTTGATAAATTCATCAAAAACGCTTTGTACTAAAATAATATTATTTGTTGTTGAGAAGATAAATTTAATTTAAAAAGTTCCAATTATGGGCCAAAAATTTATATCCCCCCCTTTTTATTAAAACCTAATTTACAACATTAATTAAATTCTGATATTTCAGACTGGTAATGAATTAAGTATATGAAATGCGTATAAGAGGTTCATGGGTCACATGGTCACCTGAGCATTTTATGCTCGATTTGACGAATACATGTACTGTGTAAATTGTAGAATTATTTGGACTTTTTCCTTGGTAAGCCCAATATGAAGGAGTGTGCATTTAGAGGCAAACACCTTAGTGCGGGTATTACTGTCTCATGACAGCATCTAGTTTGTAATTAAGTTTAACATCCTTTATCCATGTAATAATCTGTATGTGTATGACATTGCATATGGCAGAGGGGTAATGTTTATCTTTATATTAACATATTAAATAGTTTTGGTTAAAATTTTCTTTTTTAAATTTCAAATAATATTGTGTTTTTGTTGAAGTTGATAAAGAAGAAAACCCTATGAAGTAGTGATAATGTATGATACAAGGTATTAGATGGGGGTGGGACGATACACAGATGTTACGATACGATACGATCTCGATACATATAGCACGATACGATACGTATCTCGATATTATGATAAATTATAAAACTATTAAAAAAACTTAGTATTTGTTTTCATTTTTTGTCTTGACAATAAATCAACAAATTATTCTAGATCAAATCATATGTGATATTTGAAATTAACACTTGAAGTTCATCAATTTCATTGACTAAATATTTACAAAAACAACTTTACTTGTACGTATTGCCAAATGTCTATAAACAAGTTGTTTACAAATAGTTGTGTAGTTCATCAAGAACACTGACTAAAAATTCATTTTGAAAACCATCACATGTACATAATTATTAATTGCTGAAAGTCTGTAACCAAGTCGAGTTTACAAAAAAAATTAATCCACAATTTGTTTCAAAATTTCACATTCTTGAAATTAGAGAATCCATGCTTTGTTATGAGCTGTTACTGCCAGATGGACTAACAATTAATATTATCAACTGTTGTGGAAATGAGACTTTCTGTATATCACACGCTTTAGCGGCTTTACCTACGGAACTTTTCTTGGCTCATCTTCCGAGGATGCTTAAAAGTGAAAATGTTTTACCCCTTTATCTTCGACTAAGTTCTAAAGCGTGTTATCAATATCATCTATTCCTTCGTACAAGCCGCCATTTTCAAAAGGATATGTACTTATTTTTTCAATGTCTGGATAGGTTGTTCGTGTATCGTTTCGTACCGATATTTTATTGTATGTATCGTAAACCGTATCTTAGCAGAAAATATCGATATGTATTGGTATATCTTCCCACCCCTAGTATTAGACTGATATTTGAAAAAAACCAACACTTATTTTCACGACAAAATGCCATGGATTTAGAACTTTGAAAAATGTCGTTAAGCGCAATCTCCCCCAAGGAAATTTTCAAAAGTTGGCATGTATGCAAGGAACACAACCTGCGTCTTTTTGATGAGCTTTTGAACTGTCAACCAATGAAATCAGGGTTTATAAACAGTGTTTCAGTGTGTAAATCAGATATGATGAAATACCAACAAAAAATTAGTTTGTACGAGGATTTTTTATTCTTAAAATAGGAAATTGGTATTTCTGATATTCAAAAAAAAAAAATTTTGCCGCAATCAGCACTGACACGCAAAGTTGTCAATCGCCATTTGCCACGATAAGCATGATAAGGGTTAAGATTTTCTTGCGCAGATCTGGTGAAACCAAATCTACATGACCAACGTCCTTTGACGAAACCCCTATGTTTTTGTGATGCAAGGTAATGTTAGGAGTACATTGCTGAATTTCATCTGTAGTGAAGAAAACCATGCTTGTTGTCCTCCATTGGTGTTTTGATTGATGTCATTTCTGCCCAACTCTGCCTCGCGCTGTATTTCCCGTGGTCTGTCCATCAAGTGATCTCTCTTGTTTTCGTTGTACAGCTGTCGTAATACTGCCATGAACAATCGCTTTGGAACAGCAATTCCTAATTCATTCAACTTTTCCCATAACTCTGCTATCGTCCAATTTAAGGGACTGTTCCTGTTTAAGTTACACAACATATTAGCTGTTATAATGGAATCACTTTCTCCTAGAATCTGCTCTGACATCGGTTGGTGTTCGTCTCTTGCTGATCTCAATCTATTTACAGTTCTTCAATTTCTAGGCATGATGAAATAAACACATAAATTACATAAGGAAAACAGAACACATAAATAGTTACTCGCTGATCAATTCAAGTACAGTCTGATTAATCCAAGTACAGTCAGTCACTTTGTGAGAATGTAAACACATTGCACTTAACGTAGGTCGCGGGTTTGCTGACATCATTAAAACTGGGTACGCAATTTATATGGTTTGGGCGACTTTCTTGTGCACATTTGATTATGACGTCACGAAAAAGAGATTTCAGTACATCATTATCTAGCTATAACTTTTGTTGGAATTGGTATTTTATTATTATACTATTTAAGGCACAACTTATCACAAATAATGGAGGCTTTTTACAATTTGAATAGTCGATACAATATTTAGATATAACTTTTGTGGAAATGGTAGTTTAGTACAGTGGATACCGTTTTATCGGATAGTCAAGTTGTCAGCCTAGTTTTATCCGAATAGCCGAATATTAGAATAGCCGATTGCACCATTTGTAGTGCAAATACTAGATTTACAGTACACATGTAGCAATAAAACACGCTTGTTTTTCTTACTTGCACTTTCGTTTTCGATTGATAAATGTACTAAGTCAGTAGAATGAATTATTTCACTTATTAAAAGTTCAATATGATTTCGTATGTATAATAATTTATTTAATTGAATTATAAAACTTATTGTCATCTTTATATATTTAGTCAGAACCTGGCACCTGTTAACATTCATCCCATTCGTTGATGGTCTCCATGTTGGAAAGCGGAAGTTGATTGAATTCATGACTATATTTCGTAAACTTTTTTTTTCCAGATTGCTGATAAATAAATAAACAAAAAAAATTATTTTAAGTGTTTGATCTTTATTTGAATGTTTAATATTATCAAGCACATAAGAAAGCATCAACATATTATCAAGCACATGAGAAAGCACTACAAGAGCACAAAAAGGTAAAATACATACAAGAAAAAAAAATGTGATAAACATGATAAACGTCAAACGATAAACTAAATGTCAAACATTTTGAGCACAGCGTAGACACTATTTAGTCACTGTTTCATTTAGTCCCTAGGGTATCCAGTCTATGAACTCTGTGATCTTTGTCTGTTTCTTCAGTTTTTCACCCAAACGCTAACATAGTTCTTCCAGTGCATAAAAAGCACTAAAGTCCTCACAACCATTTTCCTCCAAGAAACATTGAACGTTGGAAAGGGATTCCTTGTTCTCTGCTGAACTCACTGGTAGAGTGAAGCTTGTTTCTTCATCACTTACTTCTTCTTCTGGCTTTCTTGTTGTCTCTTCCTCTAAGAATTTAGTGCAGATCTCGTCGTCTGTTATTTCTCTGTGACAATCGGTATCGTCGTCGTGATTAACAAAGTCGAAGAACTCTTCTCTCTCCATACACTCGGGAATAGTTGGTTCTTCTTCTGGCATTTCTTCTGTGCATTCAGTCTGGAAACCTGCCTTCCGGTAACAATTCACCACTGTAGTTTCTTTGACTCCCCGCCATGCTTTACTCAAAAGATGCACTGCGTCAAGTAGTGTAAGTCTTTTAGCAAGGTCCGTCGTTGTTGAGATGCTGCCGCTGTCGATCTCGCTCACCATTTTTTTTATCAGTTGAGATCTGTACAGGGCTTTCAAATTCCTAATGATGCCTTGATCGCATGGTTGAATTATGGATGTTGTGTTTGCTGGCAGGAACTGTAGTCTGATGTTGGTAAGTCGGTCGGCAGCGTCTTTAGGGTGAGCTGAGCAGTTATCCACAAGTAGGAGAATTTTTCGATTCTGACGAACCATGTCTCTGTTGAAGTCTGTGAGCCACTGTTTGAACAAATCACCAGTCATCCAGGCATTTCCGGAACTCTTGTAGATCACGGGTATACTTTTCTTCCCACGGAAACATCTTGGGTCTTTACTTTTCCCGATAACCAGCAGCCGACGCTTGTCTGTTCCAGTCATGTTCACTGTCACTAGCACTGTCACTCTGTCCTTTGCCTTTTTTGAACCAGCCAATTTATCTTTCTTGAACGTCAATGTTCCATCAGGGAGAGCTCTGTAGTAAAGTCCCGTTTCGTCGGCGTTATAGATGTCCTGCGGCTCGTAATCTTTCATAAGCTGTGGTAGAACATCTGTGATCCAGTGGTCGGCTGCATCTGTGTTAGCGTCTTTCTTCTCTCCATGCATCTTCTTATAACTTATGTTGTTTCTTTGCTTCCAGCGGGACAACCAGCCATTTGTTGCGGTGAATTCGATGTTCATTCGTGCTGCCAAGTCTTCTGCCTTTTCTGTTAGCACTGCGCTGGAGACGGGGAGATCTTTGCTGCGGGCCTTTGTAAACCATTCTGTAAGGGCCCCCTCGACTGTCGGTGCCTTCCCAGATCTGTGCCTTTTTCTTTCTGGATTAGCGCTAGTTTCATAATCTTTTCGTATTGTGTCTCTATTTTTTGAGATAGCGCTAATCTGAGGTTGTGAACAACCTAACTTCTTGGCAATTTCTGTTTGGGGGACTTTTTGGTCAAGGAGTTTAACCGCTTCATACTTGTCTGCCAAGAAGAGATCTGTCCTTTTCCTCTTCAGAGCCATATTGAGAATGATGAATAAAATTTGGGAGACGTATATTTATATGGGGTGCTTGTGATTTTAACCCTGAAATTTGCACTTAAAAGTGAACACATATTCAGATAAATGACCAAGCGAAATGATTTAATAGATAGTCTAATTATGGTGCATTTTAATGTCCAAGCGAAGTGTCATACACATGCTGAACAGTTCAATTAAAATTTCACGCCGAACTAAATTGCACACAAGCCAATTATCAAAATTAGCAAGTGCAGCACTGAATCCCAAGCTGATCATCACAATTGTATTCAAAACTTATCGATCTACCGTGCCCATTGTTAACACAGGTAAGATTCCTGTGTGCGTTCAGCCGTAACTAATCCCCTATTGTCGTTCTCCTGGTTGAAGGTGTCAGACTGAATAAACAGACTGAATAAACGAAGGGTTTACACACCGAAGTTAGAGGTGTGAACAAGTCAATGATTATGAAAATTATTATGACTGGCGAAATTTTTGTATCAGATAAAACGAAAATCCAATATTTTCTCATTAGAATATCAGGCGAAATTATTAATAAATATATAAGAAATGGTTTTGTGCTCTGATATTATATTGAAATAGCCGAAATATTCGTTAAACCGCTATCCGATAAAATGGAAGCCACTGTATAATATATTTTATAGAACAAACTGAAGTTATCAAATATAATGAAGGCTTATTACGATTCGAATCCAACACTGGAAGTATTAGAAAGCGTTTCATTATGTGTTATCAGTCGCATCCCGGAGAGCTCGGAATTTTCGGCTTGTCGGAAAGGTCGATATATTTAAAAACGATATATTTAAAAACAGCTTAAAGAGACAAAAGGGTTACATTATTGATAACATATACATGTAGTACATATTAGAATTCAAACATAAGAAAAAGTTGACTCGACCCCAGATTTAAAAAGAAAAAATGGAAAGGGGGGGGTCATTACCCCAGGTGCCTGTGTAGGTAACGGTTTACAATGCTGTTGTCTACAGATTTTATTCGCTACTTTGCTTTCCATGTCCAACCAGTCGAATTAATGTTATATACATTGAAAGTCTTTTGAACAAAAAAAATCTGCCTGTTGATTACGTCAGATAAAATTAATTTTTAGATTCTCATCCCATTTACCACTCTAAAAATGTCTTGTTCGTTTGGTTTTTAGCTCTTCTGAGCCAAAGGCTCAAAGAGCTAATGCTATGGCCATTTGTGTGGTGTGCGGTGTGCGTAAACTTTTTAGAATATGGGCCATAACTGAAGAACCCCTTGGCCAATTATTGTCAAATTTGTCACAGGGTATCCTTGGCCCAAGGGCTCCCTTTTATACTAAAACTGGGGTTGTGACCCTTTAACAAGGGGAGATAATTAGGAAAATAGAAACAAAAGTACTGGTTGCTAAAAAATCTTCTTCTCAAGAACCACTGGGCAGATTATCACCAAACTTACACAAAAGGATGAGGATATGTTGTAGATTAAAATTTGCACGGGGATTTACCCTGGGGCAAAGGGCGTGGTCTCAAGGTCACTTCAAAGTTGACCAAAAATTACATTTTATTAAAATGTTGATATTTTGCTGACTATAAGGACTAGGATCATCAAATCTTGTCAGTTGGTGCATCTAAGGACCTCATATCATGTTGACTCAAAAGTAGGTCACGGTGACCTACTTTTTAAATTTTGCGGCCATTCTTTTTCAAAATGATTTAGAGGCATATTTTGAACAATTTAAGGCCTATGATCATCAAACTTTGTCAGTTGATTCATCTTGGGTCCTCAAAGTACGTCAACTAAAAAGTAGGTCACCTTGACCTACTTTTTGAATTTTATGGCTAATCTTTTTTAAAACAATTAAGGTCATTAATTCGAATACGGGGAGGCTTAGAATCATTAAATCTTGTAAGATGATGCATCTTGGGGCCATAAAACATATTTATTAAAAAGTAGGTCACAGTGACCTACTTTTTGAACTTTGCAGACATTCGATTTCAAAGCGTTTTAGAGGCATAATTTGGACATTTTAAGTCCTATGATCATAAAACTTTGTAAGTTGATGCATCTTGGGTCCTCAAAAAAGGTCAACTAAAAAGTAGGTCACCGTGACCTACTTTTCAATTTATATGACTATAATTTAATATTTCAGGTACTAATTGGCTTAGAATCATCAAACTTTGTCGTTGATGCATCTTGGGTCTTCGGAGTAGGTCGACTAAAAAGTAGGTCAAAGTGACCTACTTTTAAAAATTTATGGCGTTAATTAAATATTTCGGGTACTAATTGGCTTAGAATCATCAAACTTTGTCAGTTGATGTGTCATGGGACTTCGGAGTAGGTCGACTAAAAAGTAGGTCACTGTGACCTACTTTCGGAAAATTTATGGCGTTAATAAAATATTTCGGGTACTAATTGGCTTAGAATCATAAAACTTTGTCAGTTTATGCGTCATGGGTCCTCGGAGTACAACAACTGAAAAGTAGGTCACAGTGACCTACTTTTGAAAATTTATGAATATTTCGGGTACTAATTGGCTTAGAATCATTAAACTTTGTCAGTTGATGCGTCTTGGGTCCTCGGAGTACAACAACTGAAAAATAGGTCAAGGTGACCTATTTTTGAAATTTTATGGCTGTATTTAATATTTTTCAGGAATTATTTGGCTTAGAATCGTCAAAATTTGTCAGTTGATGCATCTTTGGTCCTCGGAGTAGGTTGACTGAAAAGTAGGCCACCGTGACCTACTTTTGAAAATTTATGGCGTTAATTAAATATTTTGGGTACTTATTGGCTAGAATCATCAAACTTTGTCAGTCGATGTATCTTTGGTCCTCGGAGTACAGCAACTGAAAGGTAGGTCATGGTGACCTACTTTTGAAAATTTATGGCTTTAATTAAATATTACAGGTACTAATTGGCTTAGAATCATCAAACTTTGTCAGTTGATGCATCTTGGGTCCTTGGAGTAAGTCACTTTGACCTACTTATAAAATTTTATGGTTATAATTTTAAAAAATATTTTAGGTATTAATTGGCTTAGAATCATGAAACTTAGTTGATGGGTCCTCAGAGAATGACAAGTGATAAGTAGGTCACCATGACCAACTCTCAGGTACTAATTGGCTTAGAATCATCTTGGGTTCTCAGAGTGTGAATTGGAATTTCAAGGGTTTATCTAAATATACAGGATATTTCGAGGCTTCAAATAGAAGTGATAGGTTGTACAGTTTATCAGAAGAGCGATTCAAGGCCCATGGGCCTCTTGTTTTTTCTGTTCTTATAAGTATAATCATAAAATCAAGTTCAGATGTTTTTGAGTTATCCCCTGTCTGTATGAAAAATTAATAAAAACATTTTTTTTAAATATATACTGAAAACACAATGTATTTAGCCGGGGCGATATTTGGCAGAAATTCTTTCATTAAGAAGTTTTCGGAGCTATGAGCGCATTGCTGAATGTGCTAAATAAACAAATATTTCATATGTATCCTTGAATAAGAGGATAACCGTTTTCCCCCAGCACGCTGAAATAATACACAGCCAAATGTAGGATACTTATCTACGAAAAAGGAAAGAAAACAAAAAGAAACGGTAAGAAAACAACACATAAAGAAAATACATTGAAAGAAAGAAACTAAAGGACTGATTGTCGTTTTACGTCCCTTGAGATGATTTTCAATAATATGAGACGTACAAAAAATATTGGAAGAGAAACATGTCTAATAATCATTTCATTGCTATTGAATTATTATGATACGATTCTTGGGTCATATGAAAGCAGATAGACGTGAATTAAAAATATTTTAATTTGTTTTTCTGCTCTGTATTAACGACGTCAAGCGTGACGTCGCGATATTTTATGACGTAGCTCTTAAAAATGCTAAATTTTGCGATATAAAAGCAATTTTCTACATTTAAATTACGAGAAAACAAACCCGAAGACATATTAATTTTTTCACATAGATTTATTTCAAATCAATTCTATTTTAAGACACCAAAGGGGGAACAATTTCGTCTGCACCATTTAAAAGTTAATGATATTTTTTAAAAAAAAATCTTGCCTGAAAACGAGCCGAAATCGATGTTTTTCCTATATAATTCAATACAATAACGTCGAAAATGTAACTACAACAATGATATCTTTGGGATTTAATTACATAAAAATGATGCAGACGAATTTTATAAAATTTTCATAGAATGTAAAACAAAGGTAGAGGAATCATATAACTAATTTTCATGGTATGTTTTCGGACACTTTTAAAAGGCCTGCAAACCCGCGACCTACGTTAAATATCCAAACGAAATGAAACTTCAAAGCATTGGATAATTTACATGTATTACAACGTTAGAAAGTCATAGTAAATCCATAGTAAATTATAAATAAAGATGAGTGTAATAAAGTTACTGAACTGTAAAAAGTAAACAAACAGTGATGATGACGAATGCTTAGAGAATGGCTGAACTGAATATGATTGGTCTATACACCCACATGACTTGTGTATGGAGGTACAGCAAGGGAAAATGTATGGAGGTACAGCAAGGGAAACAATACAAAGTGTGGAAATGTTATTTTGATAATAAACTTTGATTATAACATAATCAATAAGTTACCTAGAAGGCGATAACTGGGACGTCGCTGATATGCCTCCGAAATAAAACCATGTAAATCAGTCCTTTGTTCCTGTTTTATGTATTTTATAAAATTATTCACGTCATTGAAATAATATACAATTAAAGTATATCATTGAGGGAGTTAGCAAGATTCCAGTTCCCCAAGGCCAGGACTATTTCCTGAGGCGAAGCTGAGGGAAATAGTTCTGGTCAAGGGGAACTGAAATCTTGCTAACTCCCATAATGATATACTTTTAACTGTTTTATTATACCGATACGAATTTAGAGGATTCAGGTAGCGTGATTTTATAGCAGGGATTAGCTCACTGAACTAACACATGGGGATTAGTCCATTCACATATCATACCAGTATAAAAGTAAAATCTAGAGGA